CTATTCACTTTCTTTCTTTTCTTTTCTTTCTTTCTTTCTTTTCCTTTTTTTAAGATTTTATTTATTTGAGAGAGAGAGAGCACAGGCAGGGGGAGGGGCAGAGAGAGAGAGAGGGAAAAGCAGACTCCCCACTCAGCAGGGAGCCCACCTGCCCACGCGGGGCTTGATCCCAGGATCCCAAGACCATGACCCGAGCCCAAGGTGGATGCTTAACCGACTGAGCCACCCAGGTGCCCCCAGCCTGTTCATTTCTAAAAAAAAAAAAAAAAGCCAGCTGGGATTTTGATAGGGATTGCCCTAAATCTATAGATCAATTTGGGAAGTATTGCCATGTTAATATTAAGTCTTCTCATTCTTTCTTTTGGTACTTATTGAGTATAAAGTTGAGCTCATGCCAAATACATTGTTTTGAATCCTGATTTCTTCTGCTCAATATTCTATCACAGGCATTTCCTTGTGTTATAAAAATGCAAGAGTAATTTCAGTGCTATGTAATATTCCATTGTTTGGCTATACCACACAGAATCATAAACTTTTGGTTTTTGGCTAATCTGTCATGGGTCCCTCATGGTGCAGGCACAAATGGACACTGGGAGGCTAGGTGGCTCACAGAAGGGCAGCAGATTATTAAAGGCATCCCCTGCTGCAGGTGGGGAATGGGACTCACTGGAAAAGACAATGTTCTGGTTACTGGAGAGCTGACCTGCCTGCCCACCTGGGAGCACCACCCTGATGGAATCAAATCAGGAAACACAATTCAATTGACTGCACAGACATTGATAGAACATGTCATTTTAGGCATGTTTCTCTAGAACAGTGGATTAAAAAAATTTAAAAATTTGCAACATGAAATTCACTTAACCTTGTAACTCAGTTATCCTAAAATGAAGGTTTCACTAAATAATACTTTTTGTATCAGCCAGGAGAAGCTGGCTTGCTGCAGTAACAAGCAACCCCCAAATCTTAGTGGTGTAAGAGCTTTCTTTTTCTGTCATGTTACACATCTATCATGTAATAGGAGAGCCCTGGCACTTAGTTTACGGAAGTCTTCTCCCTCCAGATGGTTTCTGGTTTCAGTGGCAGAGGAAGGAGGGTGGGGTAGATAGAAGAATGGCACCCCAAAGATGTGTACATACTAACGCTTGGAACCTTTGCGCATGTTATATTACATGGCAAAGGGGAATTACAGTTGCAGATGGAATTAAGGTTGCTAATCAGCTGACCTTAAGTTAGGGGGCCGAATGTATTCATAAAGGTCTGTAAAAATAGAAGAGGGGGGCAGAAGAGGCTAGAATGATGCAGTGTAATAAGAATTTAACCTGCTGTGGTTGGCCTTGAAGATGGAGGAGGGGGCCCTGAGACAAATGTGGGTGGCCTCTAGAAGCTGGGAAGGGTGAGGAAACAGATTCACCCTGAAGCCTCCGGAAAAGAATGTAGCCCAGCCAACATCTTGATTTTGAGCCAGTGGGGGTACATTTCGAACTTCTGACCTACAAAACCATAAGATAAGTTTCTGTTGTTTTAAGCCACTTAGTTTGTGGTCATTTGTTACAGGCTCTGTAGGACATGAAAACGTGCACTAGCCCTTATATGCTTATGCCCGGAAGTGACATGTGACACTTCTGTCTCATTGGCCATATCTCACATGCCATGTGGGCATGCCTAACTTCATAGGACTGGAGAAATTTGCTCAGCCTTAGAGGGAAATGGAATATTAGTGAATATAGTAATATCTGCTATACCCCTGCTATCTGTAAGTCACGCTGATGTCTTCTAGTCCATTAAAACAAAACAAGGAAGTGCCAGTGGCAACCCTTTTAAGTCGATTTGGTGATCGACTAATGGGCTGCGACCCCCGATTAGTAAAACACTGCTCTGTAGACCTCCTCCACCCAAGCCTCATGGAACACATGACACACCCTCGACTTAGCTGATTGGTCCAGGCTGGGGGCACCTGACCAAAGCTGATCAATCAAATTCCTCTCCTGGGAATTTGGAATTGGGCCATTCAGCCAGTTAACAGTGCGAAGCTGAGTGAGAGGCAGAGTACAAACAGGGTCGGGGTGAGAGCCACATGCAAGCGAAAATGACGGAGGGGCAGAAAAGCCCTGAGTAAGCAGAGAGAGAGTCGGTCCCCAGAGACAATGGAGCGGCCACATGGAGAGCAGCACAGCCCCGAGAACATGCAGCCCCAGGGGAAGAGGTGGAGAGAGAGCAACCGCCTGAGAGGCTGATGGCTTTCCTGGTCCTGGCTCCAGCACTCCTGCGTCCTGCCTGCATGTCCTTCCCGTGAGAGTTTGGTCTCCTTATTGTCCCTCCTCCTTTTCTCGAGCCACCCTCGCTGGGTTTCTGTTCCTTGTCTCCAGTGAGCTTTAGTCAGCTAGAACACCCCCAGTGTTTCTCTTACCAGGCTCAGCTTTGACTCTGAGAATCAGGCTGGTGGGGCACAGATGGGTCGTGGTTGGGGGGGGGGTGGCTTTTTCCTGACAGTGATGGGGTCAGGAAGCCAGTGGGGTTGTTTCAGGGAGGGCTTGGCTGTGCAACAGAGCGGATAGGACCTGAGCTCTGGAGACAGCCAGAGTTCACCTCCCAGAGCCTCAGTTTCCTCATCTCTGAAATGGGATTGTTGAAGGATCAGCAGTGTTCTGGGAAAAATACTGAGAGGCAGGACTGGGGCAGAACATGTGCTCGGGGCATGGGAAGCCGCTGTTGTTGTTTGAGGAAGCCATCAGAGTCCCGGCTTCCTGAGGAGGTGGCCCCAGGGGCTGATTGAGTTAGCACAGGACATTCCCAACCACTGGCCATGTTTCCTGCCCTTGTTGCCCTCACTCTCCTTCTCGCCTCTTACTCACTTTTTCATCCTTTTGCCCTCCCCTCCCCTCTCCAGACTCATTTCCCCTCTTTTCTGCTTTTCCTCTGAAGCTGATTAAAAAAAAAGACACCTGCTTTAGGAAAGCAGCAGAGTTGGATATAAAGTACCCAGCCTCTGGAGGCAGACAGAATTGGGTCTGAATCCTGACTTAGCCTCTTGGCTTGCTCTGTGTCCCTGGACAAATTGCTGTATCTCTCTGACCTTCAAGTTCATTATATGTAAAATGGGAGTTATAATGCCCATTTCACAGTGTGTTATGAGAAAGAACTAATTAGGCAGTCAACAAATGCTAGTTCTGTCTGTCTTACTGCCCTTCCTCCGTCCCTCCCTCCCTTTTTGACTGTCACTGCCCCCAGCCTGGCCCCCAGCCCCCTCCTGTGGTGCGGATGCCCCTCCCTCCTCTCCAGGATCACCCGAGTGGCTTTCCCTGACTCACTTATAACTCAGGCGTTTCTGGTCTCTCCTTTCTCTCAGACCCCGGGCTCCTGAGCGGTGGACTGAGGTTTCTGGAAGCAGTTGGGGGTCCCTGTGACTTCTCTGGTCTCCTGGTCTCCTGCGCAGGTCCAGCCCTAGCTTGGGAGCTGCTGGTTCAAACTGTGTGATCTGTATTTTTTCTCACTTTAGCGATTATTACACCCCAGCTGACTATGGCATTTTCACACTCCAAATACTGATAAATATTTATGAGTAGGAGAAAAGCCCAGAACTAGGGGAGGTGGGGGAGAGAAGTGCCAGGGCCTTCTTTGCAAGCCAAGCTCAGCCCTCTCAGTGGTCCCTTGGGCCCCAGAAGTTGGGGTGGGGGTGGGGTGGGGGCTGAGGAGACAGTGCAGAGCCACCCCCATGCCCCTTCTGGGAAGAGCGACTGTCCCCGTGGCACTCTGGGCTTCACCCCACTTGCCCTGGTGGCCTGCTGCACCTCCTGCTCCTGTGGGCCTGCTCCATGCTCTGGGTTTTTGGTTTGTTTGTTTGTTTCATCTCTCATTCCATCTGTTATGCTCACACCTGCAGGGCAGCGTCCCTCTCCCCTCCTCTCCCTCCCTCCCTCCTTCCTCCAGTACCTTCTCTAGGCTCTGCCTCTTTCCTTTTTCTTCTCTCCTCCCAGCATTACTCTGAGCAATTCTGGGGCTAGATGATGAGGCTAGGTGAGGGGGTCTCAGGCTCCCAGACCCAGCTCTAAAAGGCCCAGCGAGCACTTGGCAGGAGTTGGGGGCCGCGTGTCTGGCTGACTCAGCGTCCAGTGCTCTGCTGTGTGGCCATGGGCACGTCCCCTGTCTTTCTTGGGCCTCAGTCTCTCAGTTGATTCCTTCACTAATTCATTCATGCACCCACTCAACTAATATTTGTCGAGCGCTTGCTACGTGCCACGCATTAACACAGATTTATTAAACACCTACTAGGGACGCCATTCTAGGGACTCAGGACACATTAGTGGAGAAGAAAGACCAGGCTCTCTGGCTCATGGAGCTGCCATGTTGGCAGAGCAGACAGGCATAAATTAGCAAGTCGCTTGTGTAGTAGGTTAGCAAGTGCTGAGTGCTGTGGGAAAGTAAATAGAGCCAGAAGAGGAGAGGGAGTGTGGGGTGAGGCCACAGTGAAGCCCCATCATGGAAGGCATGGGGCTGGGCCAGCAGATCTGTGGTGGGGAGCATCTAGGGGCAAGTACTGCTCCATTGAAGGCCCTGAGGCAGGACCCACCCTGGTGTGTTGGAAGAACAGCTGTGACTGGAGGCGTGAGGGAGAGCGGGCGGTGATGCCCAGGGGTAAAGGGGAGGCAGGGCCAACCACACACACAGGGCTTTTTTTCTGCGTGAGCTGCGAGGACTTTGAGCAAATGAGCGGCAGAGGCTGACACATCTTTAGAGACTCCCTCAGCCTGCTGTGTGAAAGGGGGGCTGAGGGGGCCATGGCAGATCCCACAAGAGCTATAATGGCAAGAATGGAGGCTTGGGTGGGGTAGCGCCGGAGATGGTAAGATCTGATGATGCCAGACGCTATTCTGGCTGTCAAGGCTTGGGCGGTGCCTGAAAATCACTCCAGGCGCTTCTCCTCTGTCCTGCCGAGGGATGGCCTGCGGGGGCCTTGCCCCTGGCGGGATGCACTAATCCTGGCTTCCTCTTTCTGTCCATAGGGTGTTCAAGAAGGCAAGCCCGAATGGAAAGGTGAGTCTGTAACAACCACACCCCAGCTCGTCCCTGGCCCCAAACTCTTGTCCTCTCTTGGGCATTTCTATTGCCCATGCAGCACTCCCTGCGCACCCCCATCTGTCCTTAGGAGCTGTCCACCACAGGGGGAGGGACCGCTCAGGAAACTTTCTGTCTGAGGGGGGGCGGTACAACTCCCCGGGACTTTAGGGAGCCACTGCTCCAGGTCGAGACCCAGCCTTTCTTAGAGGGACTTCAGTGCGAGTGTGATAATTAGACTGCCAAGGGCCTCGGGGGCACTGAGTCCCCTGGCGTGAGAGGCCCCTAGAGCCTCTCTGCTGAACCCTGGCATCACCTAGTTATCTGGAGCAGCTTCCAGGGCCTGTCCTGCTTTCTCTCTTTCCACAGGCCCCAGGCTCCATCCTGCTTTCCTTTCAGTTCAACAAATAGATATTACTGACATCATTCCTTCTCGGGTCCAGGCCCAAGTGGGGGGGACTGGGACAGGGCATACCAAGACAAATGAGGCACAGCCCATGCCACTCACAGCCAGATGGGGGAGGCAGACACAGAAACGCATCACTTCAATGTGAAGTGGCAGGGGTGAGATCAAGGGATGCCCAGGGGCTGAAGGGACCCAGCCTGGGCAGTCGGGAATGGCTTCTCTCTAAAAGGGATGAGTATCCAGGCAAGGCAGGGTGAAGAAGGGCATTCTAGGCATGAACACAACTCACAGGGAGTGTGGGAGCATCCACAGCAGTTGAACCAGAGTGCCAAGAGGGAGGCAGGGGGAGCGGGAGCTGAGGTGAGGCAGGTTGCAGGGTGTAGGAGCTTGGACTCGCGGCCTGGGCGGGCAAATAGCACCATGTTGCTCCCACGTCTCTCATCTATGCCCGCAGCAGACCTCGCCAATCACTGTTCACCCTTTCCTGCTGAGCCAGGATTCCATCTTAGATGCCTTCTCCACCCAGAGCCCCAGGCAGCCCCCGATCTATCAGAGTTGGCATTTGGAATGAAACCCATTTGTCATCATACCTCTGGGCTCAGGAACCATTAGAGGGTTTTCAGATGGGAGTAGTAGCGTTAGATTTGCATTTTAGGATAACCAGTCTGGCTAAGGAGGGGAGAAAGGCCTCCAGTCCAGAGCATGTGAGGCTGCCGACAGCAGGCCACAGAGGGGGCTGGTGTGTCTGGTGCGTCGTCCAGGCAACCGAGGCTGTGGGGAGGAGGCGGCTGGACTGAGAGAGATGATGGAGGGAGGGGGCTCAGCGGGATGCAGGGACTGTGCAGGAACAGGAAGTGTCTTGGATGACACTGTGGATTCTAGAATCTCCCACTTGGGAGGTTCTTCCCTGCAGACTGGCTACCTAGCAGGACACTGGCTCCCCGTTCCTCCTTTGCCTCGGAAAACCAGTCCTAGCATGAGTGGACCCCGGCCAGACTGCAGTGAGGAGCACAGAGCTCAGGCTTGGGCGCCTTCGGCCCCGCCCCGGGTTGCCCTTGCTGTCTCAGAGATGCGCCCAGTGCTCCCGGCAGCAGACTTTGCTGCTGCCGGTCTACTCTCAGTGGCGCTTGCTGTGCAGATCTCAGGCCTCAGTGTCCTCATCTGTAAAATGGGAACAGTAACAAGTGCTTCAGAGGGGTTTAGGCTAAATAGGTGCTTTCAGAATCGTACAAGGGTTTGTTTGTATCAGCGCTGGAGCTCAGGTCCAAGTCCAGTTCGGACTTTGATGTGGGTCTGGGTTGGGGTTTAGCAGCTGCAGAGGCAGTTCCCGGGGTTTCCTCCAGAGCAAGGGCCAGTGGCTTTTCAGGGATGTGTCCTCCAGGCCCACAGCTGCTAACACTGCCTGTGCCTCTCCTCCCCAGCTCACGGTCTATCTGGGAAAGCGGGACTTTGTGGACCACATCGACCTCGTGGACCCTGTGGGTGAGTCCCTGTAGGCTGCGGGGTAAGGTGGGGAGAGGTGGGGCTGACCTGGCCCCTCCTAGAGAAGGGAGTGTTAAAGCCACACGGGAATAGCCCCCAGGTCTCCAGAGGGGCCTGGTGCCAAGAACAGGGTGTGCGTGGCTTCCTGTGACAGTCGGCAGACATCTACCACGGTTACTGAGCAGCTCCTCGGCCCTCAGTGAGGACCACGTGAGGGGAAAGTGGGGGGGATTGAGGGGAGAAGCCGGGAAGGAGGAGGGTGAGCAGCCACCAGAGTGAGGCTTATTACGTACCAGACACTGGGGTAGCTCTGTTATGATCCCTGCTTTCCGCTGAGGAGAATGAGGCGCAGAGAGGTTAAGTGACTTTCTCCAGGTCACAGAGCCAGTGGGTTGAGGAGCCTGGATTCAAACCCCGGGCAGCCTGGCTCCACAGAACCTTTGTTCTGCTGCATCCTGATGAAAAGGTGGGAGGTGGGAAGAAAACCTTGGGGCTTATGAATGGGGTCTGTCCTCACCCACATGGGGTTCTCAGCAGAGGCAGGATGGCGGCTAAAGTCACCTTTCAAAGTCTTACTCTAGCTGAAGGTTTCTCAGCCTCGGCACTCTTGACATTTTGGGCTAGATAATTCTTTGTTGGTGGGGCTGTCCTGTGTATTGTACATTGGGTAGCAGTATCCCTGGCCTCTATCCGTTAGACCTTAGGACTACCCCCCCATCCCAGCAGGATGATCAACAATGTTTTTGGACATTGCCAGATTTCTCCTGGAAGGCCCAGTCACCCCTGGTTAGGATTCTAAGAACCATAGCTCTCGTTAGAAGAGCCTGACCTCGCCGCCTCTTCCCACAGCTGTTGGAGGGAGGGAGGCCCAGAATTATCCCTGTTTCACGTATGGGGACAGTGAGGCCCAGAGAGGCTAAATGATTTCAGAGGGACAAGAACAAACCAAAGTGAGGCCAAAGGAGGCGACCGATTGGGAGGATGGACACTGGAAAATGCCTGAGGCCAAGTCCAGGTGAAGAAACTAGATGTGTCGCATGGGGAACATTCACAGAGAATGTGGCCTCTGTTACATATCCCTGGGAGTTGTCCCGGGGCCAGAGGGCGGAAGGGAGCATGCAGCTCCAGAGCTGAGGTGGGAGGAGAGAGAGCATAGCCAGCAGGTTTTGGTTTACTGGGAGGAAGACCTTTATGACAGTGGGGGCAGGAGAACTGGGAAGTCCCTGGGGTCCCTCTGCTGAGGGGGTGTGCGCAGGGCTGTGGCCTGCAGAGAGGTCAGCTCCGCATTAGGCCCTCCCTTCCTGGCCTGGAGTAGGACGACCCCGCCTTTCCTCCCCTGTGCTGTCTGGGAACACTGGCCCAGTGTCCCCTCTGCCATCTGCATCTCCTCCCTGAGCTGGCCTCTTGGAGGCAGTGAGCAAGCATCCCAGGGTTTGGCTGGCCTGCTGCAAGGCACAGTTTCCAGCAGACTGTCTGGGGCCAGGGCTGGCCCTACCCATTGGCCTATTAAGGACCGAAGTGGGGGTGGCACCGAGGCTGGGCGCAGGGCAGGAACAGGAGGGAACCGGCTCCCCCAGGGCACACACCCTGGGACTGTTCAGTCAGTGTTCATGGAGCCCCTACTTTGAGCCAGGCCCTGTGCTGGGCCCTGGGGATCTCGGAGAGCTCTGGGGCACTGTCCAGAGTTGATCAAATGACCCACAGAGAGAAATACCTTCCCCATCGCGACATTGAGCTGATTATGAATTCCCAATGCATAACTATCCCCCATGGTTCCCTGTTAGGCTCCAGGGCAAGTCCAAGCCCCCAGCCTTGCAGACAGGACACTGCAGGTCAGGCCTGGCCCTGCTTCCTCCACCACCCCCAGCATGTGCTCTCCCAAGCCTCAGAGCCACACCCTTCCCCCTGTCCACTTTGTGCTGCCCCGTGGTCATCCAGCTGGTGACCCTTACATGCCCTTTAAGACCTGACTCCTGCTTCCATCCCCTAGGAAGCCTTTCCTGACACCCCTAGTTGGGGGGGTGCCCTCTCCCCGGATTTTGTACAGAGCCCCTGGTGCTCAGGCGCAGAGGAAACACCCACAGCAGAAGGAGGGAAGATGGGCAGGTTTGGGGATGGGCTGGACATTCCCCTGACCAGGTATCCCTTGGGCCTGCCTGGGACTGGATAGGACCAGGAGCCTTTCGACACTCCCTTCTGGATGTGGCCCCTGAGATTCCCTGAGAGCTTGCTGTGCAGGCAGCATGGGGGGAGGGCGGCAGTGGGCGAGAGTTGGGGAGCCACAATTTTGCTTGTTCCTTGGGTGTGGCTGGGTGAAGTTTGGCCAGAGGTGACTGGGGATGTCAGGCAAGGAGGTGACCCCTGAGCCTGTGTTTCTGGCCTTCTGGGGTCCCGTGGGGAGAAAAATGTCCTTTGTGTCCAGCTGGTCTCAACTGCCACGACCAGGCCTGGGGACATTCTCTGTGGAATCACAGGAACCGGGCACCGTCTCAGCTTTAAACATATTAACTCAGTCTTCACAGGAGCCCTGGGAGGTCGGTTCTACGGGATCGCAACTCCTGATGGCAAATCCCAAATCCAGGAACCTCTAGAAGTCTAAACTTGCTGATAAGTTTGATGTGGGATTCATTCAATGGCAAAACCTGACTTCAACTGATAGGAAGCTCTTGGTGAAAATATTCATGTTTCCCTGCAGCGGTGTTAATGGGTTTGATCCCAGATCCTGCAGAGGATGTGACGGAATATGTGGAGGATGCACCACATGGCCTTTCCACAATTCAGAACCTCTAAATTTTAAAGTACACCTGATCGTAGGGGTTTCGGACCCATATTGTCGTTCTTATGAACAGGGAAGAAACAGAGAAGTAACGTGCCCCAAGTCACCAGCTGGGCCCGTAAAGCCAGCCTCCGGGTAGGGGGTGGGGCATGGCAGTGCCCTCCCCTGGGTGCTGGCCTCCCCATTTCTCTCATGAGGCTTTTCAACAGCCAGATGGTTAGGTTTGGATTTGGCTTGGTGTTTGGGGCTCAGGAATTTGAGAGGTCAAGCTGGGAGGGTCTGCTTACTCTCTGTCCTTCTTCCAGATGGTGTGGTCCTGGTGGATCCTGAGTATCTCAAGGAGAGGAGAGGTGAGGTGGTAGTCCCCACCTCTGGCCTGTGAAGGGGCCTCCTATTCCCCACCAACCTCTAGCCGAAGGCCTCCCTGAGGCCCAGCCAGGACATCAACTAATTCTACGGCCTTTCTCTGCCCAGCCCCACTGGCTCTTCCCTTTGCAGCCCCAGCGAACATCAGAGCAGGTGCCCTGGCCTCTTCCGGCCTGGGTAGCCCACCCATGCCCATTTTAGGGGAACCTTGTCAGTGCCCCAGGCACTCTCACATCAATATAAATGACTTTTGCAAGGCCGGGGATGCCCATTAGGGCAGGGATTAGGGTCTCATTACAGAAGAGAAAACTGAATCCCAGGGAGGTGAAGGGATTGTCCAGGATCCGCAGGGAGACACGGGGTGGGGGTTGGGCTAGGACAAGACCCCATGCCTTCCAGACCCCACTCAGCACTTATGTCCCCCTCCCTCTGCTCTCTCCAGCCACATCCCTTTCCCAGTCCCACCCCCGTTCCCCTCCAATCCTGTAAGCCTACCCCAGCCCTCACCAACCCTGTCAGACGTCTCCTGTGCTCCTGCACACTCCACTGGCCAGAGCCGGGGCGGGGGGGTCAGGGTGGGAAGGACAGAACTCACCCAGCAGTCAGCTCCCATCTCCCCCACCCTGAGGCCAGGCCTAGTGGCTCTCCCAGGGACCCAGTCCCCCCATCCCCAGGGCAGCACAGTCCTCCCCGCAGCAGCTTTGGGACAGACCTGGGAGCTCCAGTTGAGCTAATCCCAGGGCTCAGCTGGTGCTCTGGGGGGGCTTGTTCGCTGCCCTCCTGGGCCCATCCTCAGCACCCCCTGCTCCCACAGTCTATGTGACACTGACCTGCGCCTTCCGCTATGGCCGGGAGGACCTGGACGTCCTGGGCCTGACCTTCCGCAAGGACCTGTTTGTGGCCAACGTGCAGTCCTTCCCGCCGGCCCCTGAGGACAAGAAGGCCCTGACGCGGCTGCAGGAGCGCCTCATCAAGAAGCTGGGCGAGCACGCCTATCCTTTCACCTTTGAGGTTAGGGACAGCCGGCCGCGCCCGCCATGGGAAGCCCTGTGGGCAGGCACATGGGGGCAGCACTCAGTTTCTCAGTGTACACTGGGACCTGGGGCACGGTCACTGATCCTGCCTGGTCAGCGTCTCTTCTCCGGCCACTGCCAGGATTGCACCTCACCTCTGAGCTCCTCCTTGGACGCTCCGGAGTCCAGCTCATCGGTGGGAGAGAGCAGGCTGGGGAGAGGCTGCAGAGAAAGAAGGAGCCCTGTCTTGCCCCGGACTCATTACGGGACTGTCTCCTCCCTCAGACCAGCTGCCCACATGCCTGGCTTCTCCAGCCCGGCTCCAGCCCACCTCATAAACAAGGGGTGGCACGTAGTGATTTCCCTGCTCCGCCACTTTCCCAAATGGAAAGGCTCCCAGATTCTAGATTTTAAAATTTCCTGTTTCTCAGACTGTGATTCTGTAATTCAGTGAAATCCGCTGGCTTTCTGGGAAGCTAGAGAAAGAGAGAGGATAGAGTCATCCTGTCCAGAGTAGATGTATCGCTTTCCTATGACTACTCTAACAAGCCACTGCCAACCTGGTGGGAATGAAATGGGAGCGTGAAAACACACATGGATGATCTTACAGTTTCAGAGGTTAGAAATCAAACACAGGTCGCACTGGGCTAAAATCAAGATGTCCGCAGGGCTGTATTTGTTCTGGAGGCCCTAGGCCCTGCCCTTTCCAGCTTCTAGAGACCACTCCTGTTCCTTGGCTGGTCGCCTACCCCTCTATCTTCCAAGCCCGCAGCGGCCAGCCAGTCTCTCTCCCAGCCCACCACTCTGACGCGGACTCTTCTGCTTCCTGCTTTCCCTGCTAAGGTCCCTTGTGATTACGTCGGGCACACCCGGATAATCCCAGATACTCTCCCCATCTCAAGATCCTTGACTTAATCACACCTGTAAAGTCCCCTTTGCCATGTAAGCTAACAGGCACAGGTTCTGGGATTCGGATGTGCGCATCTTTTGGGGGCGGGGGGCCTCTTGTTCTGTCTACCACAAGCCAGGCACAACCCTTTAGACAAAGAAAAGCACTGACATCCTTGGCTTTGCTGGAGGGGCTTCTGGCCCAATGTGGGGCATCCTTGGCGTGGTCTGATGGGGGAGACGTGGTCTGTCCTCTGGAGCCCCCGGTCTGATAGAAGAGACATGACCTGTTGCTAAGGGGCCCCTGGTCTGAAGAACGTGTGTGGGGGTGGTGGGTGGGCAATATGGGGAGGTCAGGGGTCAATGTGACAGGAGACCTATTCTGTCTGTCCTCTTAACAGATCCCTCCGAACCTCCCGTGCTCTGTGACATTGCAGCCGGGGCCTGAAGACACAGGGAAGGTGGGTCACCTCTCTGGGAGCATCTCTCTGGGTATAGGACATTTGTATCCCTAGGGCCCTGGCTTTCTCTCTGAGAGCTGCCGGAACCCTCTGTGTGGAAGCCTCCTTGTGTCTAGGCCACTTCAATACCGCCCCAGATAAGCAGTCTCTTTTCTTTCTTTCTTTTTTTTTTTTTTTTTT